GGCCCATAACAAGATCTCAAACCAAGGAGTTCAATGATAAGCTCAATGGGCTTCAATCGCTGATCCAAAGGTTTCTTATTGGGGAAGAAGAGCTCAAGCCCAAGGGAGAGGAATTGTCCAAATGCTACAATTATTTGGTGGCCCAAATTCAAGCCCAAGATGAGGAATTTTAAGGTCCAATTTCGTGCAAATAAGGTCAAGAAGAGTCCAAGAATCAGCCACAACAAGAGTTGCTTTCTGCCCAAGTTTTGAGAGAAGACTAGTCAAACTTTCCAAGATTGTCAAGATTCTTTTCCTAGTTGGGATTTACCTTATTTATTTATTTATATATAGGTTATTAATATTTTCCTTAGTCTATTTATGGTCTCCTAAGTACCATTTAATGCTTTCCTAGAAGTACTAAATTTGTTCCTAGTTAGGTTACTTTATTTCCTTTCTAGAGTAGGATTCCTTGTAATTGTTTTTTTTAGGGTTTGGCTTCTTGGACGTTTTTCCCTTCTCCTATATATAGGAGTCTTTTTCATTCATTAAAGAAGAGTTTTAGATTGATATTAATAATATTTGAGAGAGTTCTTTGAACCTTTGTGACTTGTTCTTTGAGAATTTATCTTTAAACCTTTACTAGTTCATAGTTTAAGGTATAAAGTAACTTCTTCTTGTGATATCTTTGGTTTCTTTTTGGTATTCTTTAGAAGGTAATTAGTTTCTACATACTAATTATTGTCTTTAGTTACTCATAAAGCGGTCAAGATCCGAATCTATCGTTTTGATTCGTTTTCTCAAGTAAAGGCGTTAGAGTTCTACCATAAATCTATACGTTGTTACTTGGATCTTTTCAAGGCCTTAGAACATCTAATTCTTGGAAATTCGTGGATCTTTCCTTCGAATCTCCCATATCTTTAGTTAGTTTTGTTGTTTCTTTTCTTGTGCTTCCGCATTCTAATATTCAATTCTCTATTTGTGATCTCTTTTAACCTTGCTGTTATCATCATCCTAACTCACAACTATTCCTCTACTTTATATCCTAAACTCTACACAAGATTATTATTCCTTAGTCTACTCAAAAAGGAAACTCCTCATTAATAACTTATTGGGTGCATGACTATAATAACATAACTTGCCTCATCATTATCTCCCTTTCTTAAATTACTGAACCTCTGCATGCATTCTTCTAACTCTGAGCACTTTTACTACTACTATTTATAACATCATAACCCATACTACCTTTTCAGGTGAAAACACTACCTAAACTCTAAAACGCACTTCCTTATAAGGGTCTCAACTGAAACAAGGTTTAAAGAAGAGAGTCTAGGAGTACATCTCCCTTTTAGCTCGAACGCACGATTCATATGAATAAAAGTGCATTCTTTTGAATCTCAACACTTAAGCTCACACACAGGCTTCTCTCAAGCCCCTTTGTATTGTCATGACTTTCTCAAGACTCTTGCTGAGAGTAACTCATTGATATGAAACTGGATTTGCTTTTTAACTACCTTGAGTATGAGGGGTAGTCGAATGGATATTAGAAACACACGAGTATGAATAAGTTTTTTATGACATAGTTCTACTGCACGATTTAGAGTATGAAAGAAGGGAAACTTTTCTTAAATGTCTGTAGTCCCTCATTTATAGAACTCGGGCCCTCACAACCATAAACAAGATCCAACCGACACGACTTCATAGACACCCTAGGACACTTGAACTCTGTGCTCTGATACCAAGTTTGTCACGACCCGAGCCTACACCCTAGACATGGCCGACACTCGAGAACCATTGCTGGCCCTCAAGCGAACCCTCATCCTGACTGACTTCAAGTGGAAGAATAACTTGAGCATACATAAGCATCAAATTGAAAGAAACGTTTTAAAATTTTTTCTTGAATCTCAAAACTTTGCTAAATATACTGAGTATTAAACATAAGTTTTAAATAAAATAACTGAGACTAAAAGACTCTCCAAAACTATTTATCTATGAAGCCTCTACTATACAAATATAAGTGTCGGGACAAGACCCATGACTCCTCAAGGGAACTACTACTAACAACTCATAAAAACTAGAGTCCTCCAGAAGAAAAAGAGGTCTTACTCAAAAGCTGACGAAATGATCTCAACGGACTCTTGTTGAGGATCCTAAGAACCTGTATCTGCATTACTAAAAGATGTAGGTCGAATGACATCAATACATTAAATGTACGAGTATGTAATATAGCTGAATAACAAATAACTGAATGAAAGGACTGCAATAGATAAAACATAAACTCAACTGAATATAATGGATTAAAGGAGTGAAATCGTTTAAAGCTTTACAAAAACACTTACTCACCTATGAAACTCAACATAATAAGTGATTTAATAAAAATACACTTCTAACTCTATTTTGGAGATTCTCTAACCGAAAACCATCACTATGAGCTACATGATGATACAATGTCTCGCTTACGTTGCTAGAACTATCCTATACCTTGCCGGGGTATAGAACACCTCAACTAAGTGGATCCACTAAGCTCTGCCCAAAGTCACTTAGGATTAATCTAAAAAGTATTATCCTGTACCCATGTTGGTATACATGGTTTATGAGGAATATGAGTTGTCTGAACTCAATCCCATATGTGTGCTCAATACTACTGCCAATAATATATACTCATGCTTAATGTTTAACCAAAAACATGCTTTTCCTCTAGTTTGAGATAATTGCTCAAACTATCCTCTTAAAAGAGGTAACTGCTCTTGAAATATCTTTGAACTCATAACTCATTTAGAAATCAAAGTTTCTCTTTCATCAATGTAAAAACGGATACCTTTGGGAATACTTAGTTCCCCTATACTTTTACTCAATTCATATTTTGAAAAATCTTTCTTAAAAATATATCAAAATCATATTGTGATGTGATCATTGATGACTCGGGAAATCATACTGCATAAACATTGATGGCATAACTAGATACCATACTGCTTAAACATTGATGGCATACTCGATTGTCATACTAATCATGTTTTAGAAATTCTTTCTCAAAACTCATCTTTACTTTCTCAAGAACTCAGTTTAAAACTCAAATGTTGGCTTTAGAAAGTTTCTCAAAGTTTAAAACTCAATTCATAGGGTTCATGCAGAATTATGGACATGAACGACTCAACCCAGGGGTCTTAATAGCAATATGGAAACTTGGTACTCAGAACTCAACTATACTACTCATCTAAAAAATACTCAATTCATAGGATTCATTTTGAAATATAGACATGATCGAATCAACTCAAGAATCTTAATGCATAACATATAACCATTCAAAATTGAGGAATAGAATTTCAAAAAGAATCAGGAACTCGAAAACTCAAAATTAACTCATCTTAAGAATAATCAAATCTAGGGGTAGAATCCTAGATTTCTCTTTTGTTGATTTGAAAGTAGATGTAGGGCGTGATGATGAACTAGTCCAACACTATGATAGCCTTACATACCTGGAAGAACAAGCTTCTTGAAGAATCTTGAAAAAGAACTTGGTTAGAAGCCTTGAAACCCTAGCTTGAAGGAAAACAATCAAGAAAACCTTTCTTAAGATTCTTGAATTACTTTCTTGAAATATCTATGGCCAAGAATTATGATTTTCATTAGTGATTTATAATTGTATGGAGTAATTTGAGTTAGAAAGAATGAAATTTTTGGAGAAGGACTTACATTGAAGAAGAATCTTGAAAAAGATTGAAAGAATCTTGAATGAAGTCTTCTACTTTGATTTTTCCTTAGGGTTTCATCTTAGTGTTTGAGAGAAAAGAGAATGATGTATTAAGAGATGAAAATCTGATTATTTTGGGTCTTTAATTAGTCAAGAAATTCGTTTAGGGTTTTCATAGAGGTAAAAAGACAAAAAGGACCTTTTTTAATGTTTTTTGGTCGGCTAATTCGTCACTGCACTATATCAGGTTATTAAAATGGTCATAACGTTTTACTCAAACCTCGGATTGTTGCAAAATTGGTGGCATTGGAAAGAAGGTTCAAATAACTTTAATTTGATTGGTTATGGACCACATAACTCGTTATATTCTAAGAGATATGGTTGTTTGAAGTTGATCCAATTAGAATCTTTCATCAAAACTTAATTTGTAAGGAAACTTTCGACTCAACTTTGTGCTAGGAGATTCTAGTAACCTTAATTGATATCCAAAATCATTCTCACACTAAAGAATTTAACTTTACACATATGGGCAATTTAAGAATCACCCAATACGACCTTATATGTAAATGAAGAATAGTTCGGGTCTTAACTTAGAAATTTTTGGAGTGTTACAATTCATATGTTTCTCCGCAATCAAGGAGCGATCATATTAGACCTTACTTGAAAATAAGTGAAATTCACTTTTTATATACATTTTTTACTTTTATTTCTTTTTTCTTTTTTTTCTTTGTAATTATCACGACCCGACTCTATATTGTGGATGTGGCCGAAACTCAGAAGCATTATTCGTTATTCCCTCAAGTTGATGAGTTTAAATAGTGGTTATAAATAATGTAAATATAGAAAGAAATTAATAATATACTATGCACAATCTCCTAAATGCTTAATTAAAGGGATTAGGGAATATCACAATCTCCTAAATGCTTAACTAAAGAAATTAGAGAATATTCACTACACCATTTTAGGTCTACAGCCACACTAATTCTGGACTACGTTTGTAAAGTGTTGCCTAAAGTAATTTTGGCAACGCTTTTAAAACCAAAGTTTTTTACTTTTAGTTACAATAATATTGGCAACACTTCAAAAGTGTACTCTTTAATGGTATAAGCTACACTTTATAAGTGTTGTTACAATATGATATAATTGGCAACACCTATTTACATATATGGACACACTTTTAAAGTGTCCTATTTTTATATTTGAAAAAACAACACATTATAAGTGTGGCTTTAAAATTTTCACTAAAATATTATATTTCCTCCAATATTTTTAACTCTCTCTCCCATTTTTATTAAGAAAAAAATATATCATAAAACATTAAAAAATACTTTCCCCCCAAATCAGAACTGAAGTACTGAAGAACACAGTGAGTCCCCCAAATCGAGCTGAAAAGTTTTCTCTCCGTCAAACTTTCTCGCAGAATCACGGAAGAACACGCTGAATATCTGAAGAACTTCTCGCTGAATCGCTGAAGGTTTGTCAGGTAAGTCATAAAACATTAACACTATCTTTTTCCCCAAATCAGAAAAACCTTCCGTCTATTTGAAGAGCACGATTTTCTCTCCAAACTAATTCTGAAGAACACGATTTCGGTCAAACATTCTCACAGGTTTCACTATTTCACATTGAAAGGCTGAAGAACACTATTTCACGATATCTTGCTGAAGAGCTGAAGGTTACGCCTCACAAATGAACACGCCTCACTAAAATGCTTCACTTGAGAAGATGGTGTCTTAAAGCTTCATCACATTTTTTTGGAATAGGGTTTATCAGGTAAGAAATTGTATCTTTGAAAGTCTAAATTTTAGCTTTAGGATTTTGATATTCTTGTGTCAGCATATACAATTTTTGTTGATTTTTGGAAGTCTAGCTCATAGTTGTATTACCCACATACGTTTTGATATTCGCCTGGACAGTTCTGAATGAGACATGCCTTACTCAGTATAATATGATGATAAGGAAAATTCAGCTATCCAACAGATGTAATATGTGTAAAAAGAAGGGGAAACAACAACATAATAGGCTGTCATTTGTCTTAATCTTGAAGCCTAGCTCTTGTTTACTTGTTCTCTTTTCCAATGGAGGTATGTTCATTGCTAAGGGTGGTAGTAAGGTTCTGGTGGAGCCTCATAGACATGGAGGCGTGTTCATTGCTAAGGGCAAGGAAGATGATCTTTGTACTAAGAATTGGTACCCGGTGAAGCCGTCTACAATGAAAAGAGAATCTCTGTTCAGGTTATAACCTTTCTTTTATCTTTATCCACCACTTACATCTAGAAGTATTATCATCACTAAGTCACATGTTTCTGCTACTTGCACCTTCTGGAGCTTAATTTATCACATTTTGCACTAATGTTGCAGTATCCTTAATCTCTAATTACTACATGCATAAATATTTTTTTGTTTTTTTTCCCGCCAAACTTGTTAAACGTTTAGAAGCCTTGTTAATGTTCTTAAAATTGGGAAGTCATTGTGTCTATGATCCTAAGCAATTTCTTAGAATGTTCAAGTTTTTAAAAGGGATTGTGATTTCGTAGTTCTATGTTTATGAGCTACTTAATGTATTATTGATATTCTTCAAGCTCAATCAGATATTTCCTTGTTTTGAATTTCTTTATCTTTCATTCTTTAGCCAAATGAGGTTTTTCATGTGTATCTCTTAACTTTACTATTTTGTTAACTTGCTGTAGTATCTCTTGATTACTTACGAGTTTTGGACTATCATGTATCTGCACGTTATATGTGCATTTTCCTTTTTGTTGGCACTTTGAATCATGCTCTTTTGTTTATTACAACATATATTTGCACCTTCATTTAGCTCGGGTACTTGTCCATTATTGTCGCTTACTGCAGATCAAGCTTGAGATTAAGATATTGTAGAATCATTGTGGTGAACCTAATATTGTGAAGTTACTCAATATTGTCAGAGATCAGCTGTCGAAGACCCCAAGTCTTATATTTGAATAGGTGAATAACACAGATTTTGAAGTGCTTTATCCAATTCTTTCTGACTTTGACGTTAGATATTACATCCATGAGATATTACAGTTGTTGCAGCCGAGGCGAAAGAAGTAGCAGTCTTTGCATCATCTTCAGAATCTTTCTCAAAGTCAAACATTAATTGCAGCATTGAGGAGAACCTTGTTCGATATCAAGCTGTTACATGTGCTTCCGAAAAGATGGCAATACGAATTCACGGGTAATGAAAGATCTTATACTTGAGCACAAGGTTGATTTAGTTCCATTTTTCCTTCAGTACTGAAGTAGGTTCTGCAAATTGGGCATGCATTTTGTGTTGGCATATTTTTATATTGAAAGAATTGCCTTTTGTTTTCTGTTATCACTGTGACTTCGAATCATTTTCTTTTGGCAATTATTTTGAAGTGAGTAATCTCAGGCCTGCTGCAAATTCACCCCAAACATTGCAAATTCACTGCTGTTTGCCAAAAGATCATATATTGAAACAATACTTTTTCTGAGACAAAACTTCTTATCTTGTTGGATATTGATTCCTGTTCAGTCATGCAAAGTACAAGTTACAGCTCCTGAAATTTTGACATTTATGCTAAAGTTAGACAATGCACTAGAAAGGCAGATATTCAGAAGAATTTATGAAGTTCTTAACAATCTGCAAGGAATGAACTTAGTAAGTTTTCTCAAGTCTTAAAGATTTTGACGAGTAAAGCAGAGTTCTGTTATAATTCATTATGCTAGAATATTAGAGTCCGTAAGAGGTAAATGTTAAGGTTGTAAAAGAAAAAAAGAGATTTGAGAATGAATTGCTTGCTTAATCCCTCAAGTATGTTCTTAAGTTGCCATAAATATTCTCAATTTTTGGAGCCACAAAGTAATTTGTAAGAATATTTACTAGTAATTTGTAGCTGCACTAGTACTTTCATCTGCATTTTAAAGTGTTTTAAATTTCAGTTCTTTTCACTTGCAACAACCACTGGGCAATCTATCTTCACATCGGTGCAAGATTGTTTAGTATGACATTTCAAGAGGATATAACCTTAGCTTAAGATAGATATGGCTTATCCCTGACAGTTGATGGAAGAAAAAACCTTATCCTACGACACAACTCTCTTAATTCATGATACAAAAAACCACATTAGATTAAAAAGTATCTCATCCTACTCTTTCTTGCATTCTCAAACTTGACCCTTTTGTGTGACAGACAGTCTCTTCATTTCCTAAAACCGAATAAGGGAAATTCTTTCTGTGGGTTCTCCTTTTCCTCTAACCGGCAATGTTGTAGCTTATGTAAATACTTCATCTTCTCGTCCAAGGTACATTTTAGTGGCTACCAGGAATGTAAATTTATTATTTTAAATTATAATCTTGGTCATTTACTCCTATAACTTACTTTATGAATTCAAATAAATTGTACTGATGTTAATAATTGCTGCAGTTTCTCGTGGTGAATTTAGTGGAAAACTACTACTGAAAGGTTGAAGTGGTTTTCTGTTGCACAAAATTGATGCTTTTTAGGAATGAAGTTGCTTGATATAATCTTCCTTGTCAATTGAGCAGTAGTGTTTGTTCTTTCTTTTTTCAGTTGCCAAAATCACATCTGAGGCAGGTGCAGAATAAAGCAGAAGTTGAAGCAGCCAATACTGGAATGGCTTGGTGTATCCAGCACGACTGTAGCAGAATCATCCTTGAGGTTGACTCGGAGCAAGTGACCAAATGGTACAACAATAGCATTGCACCTCCATGGAGCATAACTGGCCTCATTCATCAACCTCATACTAATTTAATACAACTTCTACTACAATATACCAACATGAAATTGGCAATCAAACACAATCCTACAAGGACAACACTAAGACATTTAGCTGAAGCAGGTGATGGCTAATCTTTGGAGTCTATGAGTTGTGTGTACTTTTCACTTTGTTGTTGAGGTTTGTCACTAACAACAACCTGTTTTTCTTTGTTACTAGGATCATTTTTGTTAGCTGTAGCATTTTGTGTTTGAGGGTTGTCACTAACAACAACTTGTTTATGTTCATGTCTCAAAGGAATAACATTTTGACTGACTTGCTCATTTACAACAGGTTGTAAATGATTTTCAGAATTAGTGTTACCAACTTGACTAGGAGCATAGTTATGAGACTTACCTTGTATGCAGTAGAGTGTCTTGGTGTGGTTGGAGTTGATTTTCCTCTTTTTCTATGCTTTGTTTGGTGCGACTGCTATCCTGATTTACATGTCTGCATTAGAATATCTTTGGATATTTCTCCTGCTGCCCCTGTTATATATCTGCTGCAATCTGATATAATACAGTGCTGCCTGAACTCAAAAAATCTGCAGTCTGCAATCTGCAATCTGGAACTGCTGCAATATGCAATTTGGAATTTCTTGCCTCTTCTATAACTGCTGCAATCAGATTTGTTGTACATGGTTTGTTTTGATTTTTAATTTCATTTTAAATATGTAGGGAAATTGAGGTGATCAAATTTGAAGGGGTCCGCCACAAGTCAATTTGATCTCGTTGAAGTGGATGATGATGAAGAGTTTTTGAACTATTGTAGAAGTTTGAATACATTATATTTGATTTGTGAAATATATTCATTGCTAGAATATATTGAACTATTGTAAGAGTACTTTTTGAACAATTGTGTACACATATTTAGAATATTGTTGTATAAGTATGTGTAAAGTACACAAGACGTACTATCTTTTGAAGTTTATTGCAAATCTATATATTTGAATTACTTATGAGCCAATTTAATGCTTGAGATTATTTATAGCAAAATAATATTGGTGTTTTTTAATTAGAAATTGTGGCATATAAATATTTTATAGCCAAAATGATATGGCCACACTTAAAAGTGTAGCCATAGGACTGTAAATTGTGGTATGCACATGGGGCAAGGACTACACTTCAAAGTGTTGTCATACATTAGATAGAAAAGGCAACACTTACAAATCGTGGGCAATAAGGAAGCTAAGGCCACGCTTATAAGTGTAGCTGTATGAGATAGAAATGTTGCTATTTGAGGTAAATAAAAGCGTTGCCATTTTGCCTTTTAGGCTACGCTTTTAAGCGTAGCTGATAAGGCAACACTTGAAAAGTGTTGCCTAAACTCTAAGGTAACGCTACTTTCGGGCACCCCTGGAAAAGTGTTGCTTAAAGTCCAAAAGTGTAGCCCTTTATCAAAGGCCACACTTTTTGCTAGTTTAGGCAACACTTTACTGGGGGTGGCCGTAGGCCTAAAATGGTGTAGTGATTTTCATATCTACACTATCTAATTATACCATAATTAACACTCCCCCTTAAGCTGGAGCGTATAAGTCATATGCTCCTAGTTTTCCATGAATATAGACAATTATGGATCATCAGAATGAGTTTTTGAAAATATTTGTCAGTTGATCTTTTGAGTTGACAAAACTCGTGGCGATGTATCCTGACTCAATCTTCTCTCGAATGAAGAAATAATCTATTTCAATGTGCTTTGTTCTTTCATGAAACACGACATTAGAAGCAATATGTAGTACAACTCGGTTATCACAAATCAATGCCATTGGTTCAACTCCTCCCACCTTCAATTCTCGGAGAAGTTGTTTTAACCATAGAAGCTCACACGTAGCTAATGTCATAGCTCGATACTTTGCTTATGCTCTTGATCTAATTATGACAACTTACTTTTTTACTCTTCCAAGATATGAAATTGCCTCCAATTAGAACACAATAACCTAAAGTGGACAACCTATCAGAAGAAGATCCAGCCCAATCTGCATCAGAATATCCAACAATGTTGGTGTGTCCCTTATCTTCATACATAAACCTTATTTTGAAGTGCTTTTGATATATTGCATGAGTCACGACCCAGGGGTACCTCCTAGATGTAACATGGTGTATAGAACCCCGAAGAACTCCATACAAGCCACTTAGCTCTCATTAAATAAGAAATAGAAAAATAAGAGCAAAATAATAGTCCAAGTCTAAAACATTTTATAAAAGTATAGCGCAAGTCTAATACATTTATCTCATCATAGCCATCTAATACAATAGAATGAAATTGGGCCTAGCCCAAACATCATGTCCAAAAGAGAAAATATATGAAAGAAAGTGAAAAAATAAAACTCCATCCTCGAAGCATGAGGACTTACCAGAGCTCGGAAATCTCAAACTTAACCACTAGTCACAAAACTGAGTACCCTGACAACCTGACCCTACATTTGGGGAAATGTAGGCAAGAGTATACGTTAATACAAAAACAATGTACCAAGTATGATAGCCATCCATAAAACATTTAAATCATGCAAAAAGGGACATTTCATTTCATGACATGCAATCAACAAAGCTAACACATGATATAACGGAGTTAGAAAACACAAGTCATAACATCATGGTCAATGCAAGCTAACTTCATCTTTAAATTATTTGAACTAATATGCGATACTTCTTGAAGTAACCTTAGTTCATTATTATTTGTGGGGAATCATACTTAACCGACATAGAGACCATGATAGCTATAACATGATCCCCAATGTCTCCCACACTTATGGGGGAACATAGTTAAGGATTAAGAAGATTGTTACTAGAAACCCGACGGGGGAGTCTGTATCTTATGAGATTGCTTCTAGAAACACAACCTCTACTACGGGAGAGCTTCCATCTCATCATCAATATCCTCTCGGTGCTAAGCATACATCCCAGGGAATAGTTATTTCTTACTTGACTTTATTATTCATTGAAAGGTGCCCTTGGACAACCAATCCAAGCTAGTTCATTAGGATAGCTCTAACTCTTTTGATTCAATTAGGTGAGAACGCCTTTCAACCTAAGAATCCTTTCTATATGAGAAAACCGTTCACATCATGCTATTATATGTTTAGTGAGAATATCCTTTGACAACACAACATTATCATTGGTACTTTACTCTCAAAGCGCCTTAAAACATTTTCATAGATTTCATAAGAAAATGCATAAGTCCATAATTTACCTCTTGAGGCTCAAAACCCACTTTCAATCATCAATGATTAGAAAACATGGTTTAGATATGAATTTCATCATAAAATTATGTAGAGCTTGCAATACATGCTCAATTTCATAAAACTCTTCCTTGAAGATCAAAATCCCACATCATGTGATTCATAACTTGAAAACATAGGGATTGCATGGGTTCATGAGGAAATCATCATAATATCATAGTATTTCATCAATTCATGCATAAAAGATCATAATTCAATCATTTAAATCATTAATGAAAGGAACCCCATGATAATTGAAGAAAACCCTAACTCAATTGGGGAATTCTACCTTTAGAAATAGAGGAATTTGGGAACTCTATGAATTGAAGGAATCCATGTATGAAAACTATCATACCTTGAATCCAAAAGCTAGCCTTCAATGGTGGAATTGAGACCTTGACTTGAAACCCTAGGTTGAATCTTCTTCTTCAAGTTTCTAGAGAGAAATATTTGGAGAACTCTTCTTTTGTGAATTTGGAAGAATGAAGTAAATGAGTTAATTTGGGGATTGAAAAAGCTTATATAGGGGTCTTAGTGAAGGGTAAAATGACATAGTATAAGAAATAATTAATTAGGAAAAGACCTAACGACTCCTGGAAAAAAACTGACAACTGACCACATACGAACCCAGTCGACGGACCGTTGTTTGACTCACGACTTGTCCTGGTGGACCGTGGTTGGTCATTAGAAACCACACTTTTGGCCAGTGAACCACGGACCCTAACCACAAACAGTGGTCTAACCTACGGTCCGTAGGTCGAGCAGTGGTCCTGGACCTCAATTCACATGGCAGGGTGGCTAACCCACAGACCCTCCTACGGTCCGTGGTTGGCCTCCGTGGCTGGCACCTGCAACTTCCCGAAATTTGGTTCATTTCTCTTTTTGGAATACGGGGTGTTACAATATCTCTCCCTTTGGACCATTCGTCCTCAAATGAGATTCAAGCTGGTTCTAAAAGAGTAGGAGAGAAACTAACAACCCAACCTACAATGCAATGCATACAACCAAGGAGGAACTATTGACTCCAAGCTAGAACGTTCTCAAAACATCATAAGAGGGGTGAATCTAACTCTACCAGCCCATTATGCATGCAATGCACATAAACAAGGAGGAAATATCAACTCCAAGCTAATCATACTCAAATGCATCATAAGGAAGTAAGAACTACATCTAGCAACCCAATATGCATAAAATCTCAACATTACTCATGTTCAAGGAGGAACTACCTTCTCCACCCTAAAAGCATGCTCAACACAATCTCATGGAGCTCATAGGCAATTTACTCTAAAGAAGCGTAGTTGAAGCATGTTAATCAATTCATCTCATGAATTCTATAGGAAACTCATACTCAATGCACAACAACATGAGGAAAATCAATCATATAAACTAATTTTCTTTCAAAACACAAGTTTTCATGAACATGCATCACATAAGGAAATCATGAAAACACATAAAACACATGACTCCAAAACAAAGGTCAAACCAAAGGGAACACATTACCTCAAGCTAGAGTAGGAGTATAAAGAAAAATATGAGGAGATCAGGACATCATACCGGCCTCGTGCTCCCAAGTAGCACCCCCAACTAACTGATTCCTCCCCAACACTTTCACGAAAGCTATTTCCTTGTTTCTCAACTTCTTGACTTGCCGACGTAGAATCTCAACCAAAACTTTCTCATAAGAAAGACTTTCATCAACTCCCAACCCTTCTAGGGAAACTATGGATGTCGGATCCCTAATACACTTCTTAAGAATAGAGACATGCAAAACATGATGCACTGCTGCCAACTCATTTGGAAAGTTTAACTCATAAGCAACCTTACCAAGACGCCTCAAAATCTGATATGGGCCTACATACCAGGGACTAAGCTTCCCCTTCTTCCCAAACCTCATTACACCCTTCATGGGTGAGATTTTCAAGTAAACCCAATCGTTAACATCAAACTCTAGATCCCATCTTCTCACATCTGCATAAGACTTTTGCCGACTTTGAGCCATTTTCAACTTTTTCCTTATAAGTCAAAATTTCTCTATGGCCTCATGTACCAATTCAGGACCTATTAGGGAAACTTCACCCACCTCACACCAACCTATAGGAGATCTACACTTCCTACCATATAGGGCCTCAAATTGAGCCATATCGATACTTGAGTGATAACTGTTGTTGTAAGCAAACTCCATCAACGGAAAATGGTCTTAAAATCGATCACACAAGCCCTTAACAAGTCCTACAAAGTTTGGATCATACGCTCCGCTTGCCCATTAGTTTGGGGGTGAAAAGTCGTGCTAAGCTTAACCTTAGTGCCAAGACCCTTTTGGAATGACTTCCAAAACTGAGAAGTGAATTGGGTGCCACGATCAGAATGATGGACAAAGGCACTCCATGCAACCTTACCATTTCTCTCAAATACAACTTGGCATAGTCCTCCGCCAAGTTGGAAACCTTGACGGGAAGGAAATGCGCCTATTTCGTCATCCAATCTACTATTACCCAAATCGAAACATGTTGTCACCGGGTGTGAGGCAAACCAACTATGAATTCCATATTCAAGTTTTCTCACTTCCAAGTAGGTTTGCTAATGTCTTGGGACAAACCTCCCAGTTTCTGATGCTCAACTTTCACTTATTGGCAAT